TTGGGCGAGACTGACAGTGGTGGTGACAGCAGCTGCGTGCAGGACCAGCTTCAGAATGTGCAACACATCCAAGCCGCCCTCTCCGCATTTGCTGCCATTCTTGGTAACGGATCCGTCGTGACCTGGGGTAATAATTTTTGCGGTGGTGACAGTAGTGCGAGAAGGGCTCAGCTGAAGAATGTGCAGGAGATCCAATCCAATGGTGTCGCTTTTGCTGCCATTCTTCGCGACAGATCGGTTGTGACCTGGGGAACCTTTGGCTTCGGTGGTTGCAGTACTGCTGTGCAGGATCAGCTGAAGAATGTTCAGCAGATCCAAGCCACTCGCCATGCATTCGCTGCCATTCTTGGTGACGGATCCGTCGTGACCTGGGGTGCTTCTGACTTTGGCGGTGACAGTAGCTTGGTTGAACTTTACAGTCACTTTATAGCTTTATCACTTTTAGGATTAGCCCTTTTTGATATTAGGGGTACTAAAAGTTATAATTTTAGCAGGGTAATAAAGAGCAACCCAGGTAGTGATGTGCAGGTGAGGCTGAAGAATGTGCAGCAGATCCAAGCCAATCGGTGCGCTTTTGCTGCCATTCTTAGCGATGGATCTGTCGTGACGTGGGGACATTCTGATTATGGCGGTGACAGTCGTTCTGTGCAGGCTCAGCTGCAGAATGTGCGGCAGATTCAAGCCACTGGCTATGCTTTTGCTGCCATTCTTGGCGACGGATGTGTAGTGACCTGGGGTGTTGCTGACGAGGGTGGTGACAGTGGCGCTGTGCAGGATCAGCTGAAGAATGTGCAGCAGATCCAATCCAATGAGGTTGCTTTTGCTGCCATTCTTCGCGACGGATCGGTTGTGACCTGGGGCACTGCTATCTTCGGTGGTGACAGTACTGCTGTGCAGGATCAGCTGAAGAATGTGCAGCAGATCCAAGCCACTCGCCATGCATTCGCTGCCATTCTCGGTGATGGATCTGTCGTGACCTGGGGTCGTGCTGCAACTGGTGGTGACAGTGGCGCTGCGCAGGGTCAGCTGAAGAATGTGCATCAGATCCAAGCTTCGCAAAGCGCTTTTGCTGCCATTCTCAGCGACGGATCTGTAGTGACCTGGGGTGTTGCTGACGAGGGTGGTGACAGTGGCGCTGTGCAGGGTCAGCTGAAGAATGTGCAGCAGATCCAAGCGGCTCGTTGTGCTTTTGCTGCCGCTCTTGATAACGGATCTGTCGTGACCTGGGGAAAAGAGGCACAGCAGGGTGAGCAGCAGCAGGAGGAAGAGGAAGCGGAGGAGGAAGAGCAAGAGAATGACGAGAAGAGCAGGAACTAGTACAGGGGTCTTCATAATTTTGGCGGGCGTTCCTTACTATGGTTACAGTCGAATACAGTATACCCTAAAACCCTATTCTATTCATTAAGGCCCCTGTATTGGCTGCTATTGTGTAGAGCCGCTTAGCATTTCAGTGATTCAGAGTAGTAAACGTTTGAAGCGATTAAAGGCAAGAAAGTCTTTGGATATAAGATTCGGTTTAGGGTTTAGAGTTTAGGGTTTAGGGCTGGATCTCTGAACCTTAAGCCCCAAACTCCAAACCCCTAAACCCAAGTTTAGGGTTTAGGGTTTAGGGTTTAGGTTCAGGCCCTGGCCTTGTCAATCCGATACCATGCTGCAGATGGGTAGTTCTCTAAATTAGGGTCCCTTTTTAGGTCCCCCAATATAGTACGGCACCCTTATAAAAAGGACCCCCAAAAGAGACCCTAATTTAGAAAACTACCCAGATAATGGCGCCAGGACCCCGAGAGTCCACCCTTTTTCATCAGGATACATACCTGAGAGATCAGTAGTTAAGCCCTAAAACCCTAAACCCCTAAACCCTAACCCCTAAACCCTAAGACCCTAAACCCTAAACCCTAAACCCTAAACCCTGAACCCAAGGAGTCTTAGCGTCCCTGTCGGCTCGCTGGTCCCTTCTATCACAAATTGATCTAGGGTTAAGGGTTTAGGGTTTAGGGTTTGAAAGGCCCAGGAGGGTCACACCTAACCAGGGGTTTAGGGTTTAGGGTTGAGAGGTCCAGCATTACAGCAGAAAAAAAGCCCTAAACCCTAAAACCAAAACCCTAAAGCCTTAATTGTCGCATAGGATGTTTTGTAGCCAGGTCCTGCAGTGAGAAAGGTCCCTGGGCTAATTTTGGAGTCTTAGAGTTTAGGGCTTAGGGTTTTGGGCTTAGGGTATTAGGTGCATGGAGAATCATATGTCATAAAGTCGTTCTTGAAGTGTTCTCCGGTGTTGGTGCTTCGACATAGGACTCCGATTTGAAAGATTGGCAAGCGTTTGTTTTTGGGCTTTCTTCTGGGCAGGCTAGTAGTCGTAATGTAGGGTTTAGGGTCAGAGCTCACAGGGACCCTCAGCCCCCACCAAAGCAGTCTACCCTAAATCGGAAGGTTCATGTCTTCACAGGTCAAGATACATCCCAACCTTAAACCCAGAACACAAAAATCATGAACCTCTCCCCTAAACCCTAAACCATAAACCCTAAAACCCCCAAAGGGTACATCCCCTTTCTCTGCCATCCCCCCGTGGAGGCGAACACAAGTCCGTGACGAAGGCGCGGAGGGGACCGCCTAATGTAGACCCCGGGGATTTAGGGTTCGGGGTTTAGGGTTTAGGGTCTAGGGTTTTAGGGTTTAGGGTTTAGGGTTTTAGGGTTTTAGGGTTTAGGGTTTGAGGTTTAGGGTTCGGGGTTTAGAGCTTAGGATTGCTTCCTAAACCCTTGGTGCCTCTGAAGTGATTATCATAGGAATCGGAGAATTAGGGCCCTTAAACCGGTGGTCTGCATTGAGAGTTTGATGCTTTCCGGTGTTGTGGAACCAGGGCCTTACAGGAGTATTGAAGAGTGGTGTTGTCGTTTTTTTGTTTTTGCTCTCAGGCTTCTTTTGAAGGTTGTATCCCGGCTGTCTACAGTGGGTTTTTGCTTTAAGGGTCGCTTTGCAGCGACCGGGGGTGGTAGATGTATGTCAGGAGCAGGAACTCTTGCAGAGTGTGGAGATCAGATATCGCTGGTTTTAGGGTTGATGGCTTACCTGTGACCGTTTAGGGTTTAGGGGTTAGAATTTGGGGTTTACCTATAGTCTCCATTGTAGTTCTTTTTTGGGGACACCTTATAAACTCCTTGATATATATTTGGTTGAACCAAAAAAAGGAACTACAATGGAGACTATAGGTAGGGTACCTGTGACCCCAAACCCTACAAACTTAAAATAGCAGGTTGTGTCACCTTAATTGGGGGGTAGAACCCTTTTGCGGTTAAGGTTTAGGGTTTAGGGTTTAGGGTTTAGGGTTTAGGGTTTAGGGTTTAGGGTTTAGGGTTTAGGATTGGATTTTCGGATCCCCAGGTAAGCCTATCCCTTCAGACCCTAAGCCCTTTCAAGGAGCCCCGAAAGGAACCCTTTCAAGGAGCCTTTGTAGGTTTAGGGTTTAATTAGGGGTGTGCAATGCCAAAGAGGCAACTGTTCTGAGCTGATTGAGACAGAGAGCGCTCAAAAAACGCCCCGAGACTCCCAAGCACCTTAAGTAAGAAATAGCCCTTAAACCTAAGCCCTAGAAACTAAGCCCTCAACCCTCAGCTCTAAGTTATCGAGACATGCTGGTTTCATGTTAAGGTCTATTCCTTGGTTATGAGGCGAAGACAACCTGGAGACTCCCAAAGCATACCTCAAACTTATTAGCGGTTAAGATATCTCTTCTGTGATTATGAGATGCCTGAACCTGAACCCTAAACCCTGAACCCTAAACCCAAACCCCTAATCGGATTAGGGTTTAGGGTTTAGGGTTTAAGTTTAGGAAGTTTAGGGTTTAGAGCTTTAGGGTTTACGGTTTAGGGCTTGGGGTTTAATTTTAGGGTTTAGGGGTTTAGGGTTTAGTATTTAGGGTTTAGGGATTCCTCTACCCCTAAACCCTCAACCCTAAAATTGGGGGATGGGAACGTGAGGACCTTGCCAACATGTCCGATGCAGAGCTTCGACAGCTTTTCTGCCTGACCCGTGGCTAGGGCCCGACAGCTTGGTAGTTTGAGGTATAGGGTGGCTTGGGGTTGAAGGTTTAGGGATTAGGGTGGAAAATGGTTTCGAGTTTAAAATTAAGGTTGAAGGTGGAGGAGTTGATATGAACATTAGTTACCGTTTCTGATAGTCATTCCACAGATATTTGATTGTCTTTGGTTTAGGTTCAAGTTTCTTTTGTCATTTGGAAAGCGTCCATCCTGCTGTGAGGTTTCGTGAGCTTACTTCATAACTTAGAATCCAAAAGCCTAAACCCTAAACCCGAAGCACCAAGCCCGAACGAAACCCCCTAAACCCCTAAGCCCCCAAACCCCTAAATCCGAAACCCTAAACCCTAAACCCTAAAACCCTAAAACCGCTAAACCATAAACCCTAAACCCTAAACCCTAAACCCTAAACCCTAAACCCTAAACCCCCAACAAAAAAAGCCCTAAACCCCTAAACCCCTAAACCCTAAACCCTAAACCCTAAACCCCCAACA